GGAATGGCAGTGTTTACTGCCGCTCTAATCACGATGCCAAGGACACCAGGAGCCTTATCCAAAGCTGGAAATATATGTACAAAGTTCCAAGGAACTTCTGCAGACGAGAAACTGGCATGGTCTAGTGTTGTCTATTTGGATTCATTATGGCTCTTTTACTGTGCACAGTACATTAGAAAATGCAAACCTCCAAGTTTAGGAGAAGGCCTGTAGTTCAGTGGTGGAGGCATCTCCAGGAAGGCTAGGGGGGGAAAGACACTGTCTGAAGTCTTGGAGAGCTGCTGCCGGCCGGTGCAGCTTCCTAGGTATACTCTGGTTTTAAGCAACTTTCTCCACAAGACATGCACATTCATGCCTTTTCATGATACACAGTACAGAAAGGGCTTTCTATATAAGAACACAAGTACAAAAACCCTGAATATAAAAGGAAGGAAACTTCCTACCTCTGCCACAAAGCTGTTGGTGCTGAAATGTGACCTGACCAACATTTCAAAAGTGGGGGGAAAAATACTTTCCTTCTTTTTAGCATTTATGAACCAAACAATACTGTGCCTAGGAAGAAAGGGGGGACCAGTGTGTTTCTCTATGGGTGCCACAGGCATGCAGTCGCCCCCTTCCCCTCTGAGAGAGGGAGACACAGCAATGAGAGAGGTGGCTGAGGGTGGGGAGTGGGTGGGGGGCAAAGGGTGTCACGGGGGGGGGGGGGGAGGAAAGCAGACAAATGGAGAAGGAGGCAGTGACAGCACAGGCTGCAGTGGGCAGATCTGCTACCCCTCCAAGGCAGTCCGGATCCAGCATCCACAGCAGATTCTCCCACTCTGCTTCATACAAAGGCCAGCAATGTCAAAAGGGGGCAGACTCTGCCAGAAATGCAATTCAATGTAAACCATTGAAAAGTGATGCATGGGGGGAGGGTCTTAATTTCACATATCTGCTCATGGGGTCTGAACTGGCAGTGAGAGAGCAGGAACACGACCTTGGGGTCATGGTAGATAGTTTGATGAAGGTGCTAGTCCAGTGTAAAAAAGGCAGATTCCATGCTAGGGATCATTAGGAAAGTAATTTAAAATAAAACTGCTGATGTAATACAAATCTATGGTGTGACCACACATGCAGTACTGTTTACAGGTCTGGTCCCCTCAGCTTGAAAAAGAGATTGTAGAGTTCAAGAAGGTTCAGAAAAGGGCAACAAAAATGAAAAACAAGATGGAGCAACTCTCCTATGAAGAAGGTGTGAGAGATCCTGCTTCAGAAAACCAACAAACTTACCTCGATTCAATTCATGAAGCGGGTGAGACTATAGAGTAAACTGTTCTGCCAGGCTTAGCTAGATCACTTCCCTATCAAGCTCTTTGTTGTCCCACTTTTCATCATTTTGCAGCATATGAACCCTACCACTAAGGAGGTCTAAGCTGTATGCTCCAAGCTTAGACCGCATGGCTCAAGCAAGCCATCTTTGTGTTTTATACAAATAATTTAGAAACAATTTGGAACCTAAGATATACTGCCTGTGTTTTGCGTGTTCAGACCCAGAAACCTCCACCCTAAATAAATTCACACTTGACTGAAATTTTGGGTTTGGTTTTTGGCAGAATTTAGGCCACAACGTTATTGATTACAGAAAGTGACTGGTTGCATAGGCCCTGGTTCGACTAGCTCCCTGCCATGCAGGTAGCGCTGACCCAGGGTTCCAGCATAGGTCAGCCAAGGGTGAACACCTGGATAAGCAGAAAGCCGGGCATGGGCTATCTCCGCCACCCAAATGTCCCCCTGGACTCAGGCATGGGCACCATCCCATCACAGGGGTTGACCAAACCATCAAGTCCCTGGATTACTTTAACGGAATACCCTTCACATAGGGATGGTGAGAGGGTTCTCCCATCCCTATCACCTGAACCAGAGCCTATCTGCCACACAAGCCCCGCGCTTGCCGCCAGCCACTCAGACCTGTAACCAATCCCTTAACCCCACTGACACGGAGGTCAGCCAAAAATCAAGCCTGTAAAGGGACGCATCGCGAAGGGTAATGCCCAGGTGACGGATCACCGTCCCGCCCAAGGCCAGAAGCTTCTTGGCCACTGCACTCTGCACGCGCCTCCTGGCCATCTCAGTGGCAGCTGGGCATCGGCTACCACGCCACACATGTCTCTGCAACAGCTGCAACCAAAAGATTTTGAGTCCAGGAAGAGCTGCCTTCAACTCCTCCAAGTCCTCCTGCATGCGGGTCTGCAGGCTCAAGCTGGGAGCTTCCGGCAAATCATTCTCGCCCAGCTGCACCGGCATCGCCACAGGCATGCCTTCCACAGACACCTTGTTATGCATCGTTGGGAGAAGCTCCTCCCAATGCATTCCTCGTTTGGACACCCAGGAGACGCTCACGTGGTCGGGGAGCCCAAGCCTGTGTCCGAATCCAGACTCCGCCACCCTCCTGCTGGCCCAGTGGACAATGCTGTGCCTGACTATCCAGACGTGCAGGGCAGGCAGACCTAGGAATGAACAAAACCACATTAGCAACTGCACCTCAGCACTGCATCCGAACATAACTCCTGTATGCGTCAGATTTCCAGCGGCCCAGATCCTTAATCCTGTCAACGGACAGGCCCCAATGCGCAGCGGTAATAGCTGCCCCAATACGGAAGGAATGAGGTGCAAACTTACTAGTCAGCAGGCCACATCCTGCAATTGCCTTATGCATCACTGCAGCAAACTGATGCCTCTTTAACAGGGACCCATCCTCGTGGACCAGGAAGGGGCCATACCCAGGCGGGCGAAGTGACAAATGTCTCTTGGCATCCCTCACCTACCAGCGGCAGGCAGCCTCATCGAGGCACCTCTGCCCAACTGGTCCATTTTGGAATTCCAAATAGTGAGCACCAGCTCATCATCAGACAGCTGAATGTCCTGCAAAAGCGAGCCCTTGGAAGCCCTTCCTTTGAGCTGACTCCAGCACCACTTTGCCCACACGCAATGCACCAAACGTTCTATAGGAAAACCTGCCGAAAAGAGTCTCACCTCATAAATAGACCAGCAAAGTAGTCTCCACTTGCAGCGCACAGCGCTTAAAATGTCAAGATGCGACCGGCCTCCTACTTGCCAACTTTGGTGGCTGCAACCTGGCCCAACCTTCAAGAGCCTTGTGCACCACAAACTTTGTACAAGGGTCTCTAGAATAAAGGGACTTACAGAAAAAATGACATGGGAAAAGACTGAGTTCGGATGGAGATCACAGGATGACCCATAAACCGCAGGTGAGCCAATTACTGCAACACCTGATGTATGAATGGCGAGTTTGTACTGTCGCTTGTCAAATGCTGTTCTCTAAAGCTAAGAAGCCCATCCAGGCCTTCTTATAAGACCTCAGTGTGGAAGGAGAAACAGATGCTACTACTCCCTGCTGGACTAGGCACTGCCAAGGTTCCAAAGGTAATCTGGGAAATATTCCCGAAGCTGCTGGGCCTCCAAAGCCAGGGATCTGAAGCGCTCCATCTGAAAACAGGATAGGGCATCCACAATGTCATTATTAGCACCAGGAATAAAGCGGGCAGAAAAAACAATACTAAACTTGAGGCACAGTAGCACAAATGTGTGTAACAGGGCAGAGAGCCTGGAGCGGGATGACTGCTTTGCCAAAATGCTCACCATGACCTGGTTATCGGACCAGAAACAGACCCACCGGTCCTTGAACTCTGTGGTCCAGATGTGCATTGCCACTACAATGGGGGGAAACTCAAGAAAGGTTAAATCACAGGCTGTACCCTGCCAGTGCTCAGGCCACCTCTGAGCGTACCAACAGCCATGGAAATAGAGCCCAAAGCCCAATGACCCAGCAGCGTCCAAATGGACCTGGAAATCGAATTGCACAAGGATACGCCATTGAACTCCTTCAGGAATTCAAGCCATATCTCCAGGTCTGCCCTGACCTCGCTGGACAACCAGACCCGGTGATGGGGTGAGCGCAGGCCAGCTGAAAGTCTCTTCAAAAATTACTTCTTCATATAGTGGATGATGGAACTCAGTCCCACAGGAGGGCCACTTTGGATGGCTTTAAAACAGGATTGAATGAATTCATGGAGAGTATGGCTACCAATGGCTACTATCCATGATGACTATGCTCTGCCTCCATTCTCGCCCCTGTTCATGGCTGGCACCAGAGGCTGCCATCATCAAGCTCCTGACAAGGCCCCTCCTGCAGCAAGGGGTTGCAGAAAAGACCTCTGCTGTGCCTGTTGGGTTGGGTGGGTGCCCTAATTCACAGCTAACTAGTCTTCAAAGATTCATATATCTGTTATGTTCCCAGCCAGGAAATCTCCATTAATTGTTCTGTCTGCTAGGAGGAGATAGGATGTATGTACCCCTTTACTTCCTCCCCTGACTGCCCATTTCCAAAGTGACACATGCCTATACGTAGGGCAGTGGGTGCCAACCTTTTATGGTCCATGGGCAATTTGGAATTTTGAAAAGATGCAAAAGGCACCAGTCTAGGATTGCCATATTTTGAAGATCAAAAAAGAGGACACATTTGCCGACTTCTACTTTTAACTAAGGATCGCTTTGATGACTCTCATTTTAAATACCCCTCCTATATGTAGGCTATAGAAGCTGTGCTATATTGCTAGTAGCAATGTTCTTAACTTTCAACAAGAAAATAATAATACATATTGCTCCCTCACTTGCCACATGAATGTATTTGGGCTCATGTTCACATATTTGTACATATGGAATCTCATTAAAGGCAGGGGTATTTTAACTCTTGCCCTCCCAGACTCCTTCTCTAAGATCTTGTAGCTGAGCCAGCATCCTTTGAGTTCACCCACAAGAGAAGGGATTTATGCGGTATGTAGCTAGTTTAAGATGCTGCTCTGTTGTGATTCTCTGCTGCAGACCAGCTTTGCCAGGTGCCTCAGGTCTGAGTCTAATGCACTAGAATTTTTTTTCTTGGGTTACTGCAGTGCTCATGGAGCGTCTCCTGGAGGGGCTTCTGGGCGTGGTGCTATATTTCGATGAGGTGTTGGTATCCGCAGACTCAAATCAGCATCTGCTCTGGGCTGACCAAATTCCAGGAGGCTGGGCTCAAGGTGAAAAAAGAAAAGTGCCAGATCGCCGTTCCACAGGTGGAGTTCCTGGGCTACTTTATTGATGCCTCCAGTCTTCACCCGATGTCATCCAAGATCCGGGCCATTCAACAGGCCCTGATTCCAAAAAGCAAGGCGGAGTTGCAGGCGTTCCTGGGGCTGCTGAACTTCTACAACATGTTCCTGCCCCACAAAGCAATGCTAGCCGGACCTCTACACCACCTCCTCAGCACGAAGATACCATGGTCCTGGGATCATCAGGAAATGGCAACCTTTAACGCAGTCAAAGCCCTCCTCTCATTGGACAGTGTGCTGGTACAGTACAGTGAAGCCAGGCCGCTGGTCCTTGCCTGCGACGCCTCGCCTATTGGCATCGGCACCGTCTTCAGTCACTGGTCTCCAGATGGTAATAATAATAATAATAATAATAATAATAATAATAATTTTTATTTATACCCCGCCCTCCCCAGCCAAGGCCGGGCTCAGAGCGGCTTACAAGCAATAATAAAAACAAGTTAAATGATTACAACTTAAAAACAGAATTAAAAATACAACATTAAAATATTGAAACATTAAAATATTAAAATGTAGCCTCATAGCAGGAGGAGAAGGAAAAGAAAAAAGTAAGAGAGGGAGGGAATCAAATTGGCTCCAAGCCAAAGGCCAGGCGGAACAACTCTGTCTTACAGGCCCTGCTGAAAGAAATCAGATCCTGCAGGGCCCTGGTCTCATGAGGCAGAGCGTTCCACCAGACCGGAGCCAGAGTTGAAAAGGCCCTGGCTCTGGTTGAAGCCAATCTAACTTCCTTAGGGCCCGGGACCACTAGGGTGTTGCTATTTATGGACCTTGAGGCTCTCCGTGGGGCATACTGGGAGAGGCGGTCCCGTAGGTACGGGGGTCCTAGGCCGTGAAGGGCTTTAAAGGTCAAAAGCAGCACCTTAAATCTGATCCTGTACTCTACCGGGAGCCAGTGCAGCTTGAAATGCACTGGGTGAATATGCTCCCATGGCAGAGATGGTAGGGAAGCACCGCTCACCTACTTCTCCCAGACGCTGTCTCCAGCCGAACGGAATTACAGCCAGCTCGACAAGGAGGCACTGGCACTTGTGGCTGGAGTAAAGAGGTTCCATGAATACCTCCATGGGAGACCCTTCAACCTCATCACTGACCACAAGCTGCTCCTGGGCCTCCTTGCCAGTGATCGACCAACTCCACCTTCCTCTCACCACGCATGCTGCAATGGACTGTCTTTCTGGCAGCTTACAGCTACCAGCTCGTCCATTGCCCTGGAAAATTGATGGGCCACACTGACGCTCTTAGTCGTTGCCCTCTTCCAGCGCTTGTGGAAGACCCAGCTCCTGCTTCATCGCTCCTCCTAATTGAGGACCTTCCAGCAGCGCCAGTATCAGCCACCGATGTAGCCTCCACATCTGCCCAGGACCGCACCATCAAATGTGTACTCAACTGGGTGTGGAGGGGGTGGCCAGAAGGGTCTTTTGCACCAGAGTTCCAACCGTTTGCAACCAGACAGCACGAGCTCTTGGCTCATCATGGCTGCCTACTGTGGAGAAACCGAGTTGTGGTTCCCCAAAGACTCCGCCAACACGTCCTCGAGGCTCTGCACATCAGCCACCCGGGGATCGTCAAAATGAAGGCATTGGCTCGGTGTTACATCTGGTGGCCTAACATAGACGATGCCATCACTTCATGGGTTGCCTCCTGTCAAGCATGCCAAGAGTTGAGACCTGCACCGTTGGCAGCTAAGGGGAACACCTGGGAGATGCCCAAGGCACCCTGGTTGAGGGTGCACATCAATCGTGCTGGCCGCTTTCACGGCTGGACCTTTATGGTAGTGGTGAAGGCCTATTTCAAATGGCTGGAGGTCGCCCTGATGCCCTCCACCACTGCTGAAGCCATCTTCTGGGTGCTGTGGGGCCTGTTTGCAACTCATGGGTGTCCTGATGTCCTCATCTCGGACAACGGACCTCAGTTCACGTCAGGCACCTTTGAAAGGTACCTCTTGGGGCTGGGCATCCACCCTGCCCTAACGGCACCATTTCACCCGGCCCGCAACAGGCAGGCAGAAAGAATGGTGCACTCAGCAAAAGAGGCACTGGCGCGCCTGGAACAGAGGGACTGGCATGAGCGGGTCACTTGTGCAGCATATCCCCCCTCATGTAGCCACAGGGTGGAGCTCAGCCGAACTGCTAATGGGCTGCCGCCTCTGGTCTCCACTTGACCAGCTGCACCCGGACTTTGGTGTGGCCAAGCCCACAGGCTGTACTAACGCGCCACGGTCCTTTATTCCAGGGGATCAGGTTTTTGCCCAGAACTTTGTGGGGGACATTCATTGGGTGCCAGCCAGAGGTGGTGGGTGTCACAGGGCCCCGTTCATACCTGGTGGCACTCGAGAATGGACACTTGTGGCACCGGCACATAGACCAGCTAAGGCGCAGGGTTGCAGATTTGGACACTACCACTGTGCCCCAGCTCCAGAGTGGTCACAAATGGAAGGTGAGGCTCCACCTACATCTTCCTCACAAACTGAGGGCATGGAGCCAAGCCAAGCCATTTCAGTGGATCTGCCTGGCTCTCCAGAGACTCAGACCCCTGCCGTGCCTGACCGTCCGCTGAGTCCGCTTATGGTGGTTCCTTCATCAGCAGTGGAGCCAGGGAACTCGGGCTCAATGCCACATTTGGTCGCACCACAGTCGCAGCCAAAATCGGGCGGCCACCCAGACTCTGGTACTGGCCCTCGGTGGTCCAGCAAGTTTTCCAAGCACCCAGCTTATTTAAAAGACTATGTTCACTGGACAAACTGCACATGTAAAGCTGTATGGTGAATAGGGTCAATTAATATGCTTATGTGCCTTACTGAAACCAATAAGGGTATTGCTGTATATAATGGAACCACTATGATCATAACTACTGCCTTATCTCAGTGGGGAGTGGTGTTATGTATTGAAGTACTCACCCTGGCCACCAGGAGTATCGTGTATATAGTTTTCACTCAGGTCCGCGTCAGTTACTTTAGGCAGGAAACCCTGGGTTGTTGTTGTTGTTGTTGTTACAATGTTGACAGCCAGCTGCCTATAAAAGCAGGCCGGCTGAGCTGTTTGCTGTTCAGTTCCAGCTTACTATAAAGAACCACTTGGAGAAATCTCTGTGTCGTCTGCTGTGTCAACCCACTGCTTAATACATGGGAAGCTAAAATGGGTCAAATATGGAAAATCTATTCAATCATTTTATTTTTATTACTAATAATGAAAAATATGAATGAAAATATAAGATGAATGATTCCAGGAATATTATGCATGAATATACAAAATGTGGTCACAAACAAGAGTACAGCGGTACCTCGGATTACAAACACTTTGGGTTACAGACTTTGCTAACCCAGAAGTAGTACCTCGGGTTAAGAACTTTACCTCAGGATAAGAACAGAAATTGTGCGGCAGCGGCCCAGCAGCAGCAGGAGGCCCCATTAGCTAAAGTGGTACCTCAGGTTAAGAACAGTTTCAGGTTAAGAACGGACCTCCGGAACGAATTAAGTTCTTAACCCGAGGTACCACTGTATATGCTTAAAACTGGCTGGCAAGCATTGTTGTTGCTACTGCTGTTGTTATTAATATTATTATTAATACTGCTGTCTTTATAGAATAGAAAATACCGTGGTACCTCGGGTTACATACGCTTCAGGTTACATACGTTTCAGGTTACAGACTCTGCTAACCCAGAAATAGTGCTTCAGGTTAAGAAATTTGCTTCAGGATGAGAACAGAAATCATGCTCCAGCAGCGCGGCAGCAGCAGGAGGCCCCATTAGCTAAAGTGGTGCTTCAGGTTAAGAACAGTTTCAGGTTTGTCAGGAAAGCACTGTTTAATGTCTGGATAAGATACAAAGATCTGTTAGAAAATAAAACCCCGAGATGGCTGTCACCAATGGAAGCAAAGACTCAGAAAAAACTCAATATGGAGGCCAAATGGCCGAAGTATTGGGAAATTCTGGAGCAAGAGGGAGATAGACTAAAACTGCTGAGCTTTGAAAAATTAAAAAACAGAGTGCGAGACTGGCTCCATTATTATCAAATAATGGAGGCATATAATTTGGACAAAAAATTAGGCTTCCAGGTGGAAAAATCAAAATTGGAAACAGAATTGTTAGACCCCAAAGTTAAGAATCTGTCAAGAATGTATAACTTGTTGTTGAAATGGAATACTCAGGATGAAACGGTGAAATCTGCTATGATTAAATGGGCACAAGATGTTGGACATAACATTATGATGGCTGACTGGGAACAGTTATGGACCACAGGTATGAAGTTTACGGCATGTAATGCCTTAAGAGAGAATATAATGAAAATGATCTATAGGTGGTACATAACACCAGTCAAGCTTGCAAAAATTTACCATTTGCCTGATAACAAATGTTGGAAATGTAAGGAGACTGAAGGTACATTCTTTCACCTTTGGTGGACATGCCCAAGGATTAATAACTTCTGGGAGATGATTTATAATGAAATGAAAAAGGTATTTAAATATACCTTCCTGAAGAAACCAGAGGCCTTTCTCCTGGGCATGGTCAGCCAATTGGTGCCAAAGAAAGATAGAACTTTTTTAATGTATGCTACAACAGCAGCAAGAATACTCATCGCAAAGCACTGGAAGACTCAAGATCTACCCACCCGGGAAGAATGGCAGATGAAGATGATGGACTACATGGAATTGGTGGAAATGACTGGCAGAATCCGAGACCAGGGAGAAGAGTTGGTGGAAGAAGATTGGGAAAAATTCAAAGTATATTTACAGAAATACTGTAAAATTAATGAATGTTAGAAGGATACTGGAATGAAGTTACATGGTTTTAGCAGAAATGTTATAAAGAACTAAGTAAAAATAATTGTTAATGGGCCAAAGTGTAAAATTTAAGGTCAGATTGTGTTGAGATAAATTATAGAACAAAAATTGAGAAAGATGGAAAGGATTTGCTGAAATAGCTAATTGAACTAGAATACAAAAAAGGTAGGTGTGAGGAGGTTGATGAAACAAGTAAATGAAAGATAAAGATATGGAAATACTGGACGTGTTTTTAAATGTTTTTCTTTTTTTATTGTTCTGTTGTATTGTTTTTTGCCTTTTTTTCTTTCCTCTTTGATGTATTGTAAGGTATTGTTTAGGGACGCGGGTGGCACTGTGGGTTAAAGCCTCAGCGCCTAGGGCCTGCCGATCGAAAGGTCGGCGGTTCGAATCCCCGCGGCGGGGTGTGCTCCCGCTGCTCGGTCCCAGCGCCTGCCAACCTAGCAGTTCGAAAGCACCCCCGGGTGCAAGTAGATAAATAGGGACCGCTTACTGGCGGGAAGGTAAACGGCGTTTCCGTGTGCTGCGCTGGCTCGCACAGATGCAGCTTGTCACGCTGGTCACGTGACCCGGAAGTGTCTCCAGACAGCGCTGGCCCCCGGCCTCTTGAGTGAGATGGGCGCACAACCCCAGAGTCTGTCAAGACTGGCCCGTACGGGCAGGGGTACCTTTACCTTTACCTTTAAGGTATTGTTTTGTTTTGTGTAACTTTTCATTGGTTCTTTTTTTTCTTTTTCTTTCTGTAACTATTAAATCTCTAATAAATATCATTTTTTTTTAAAAAAAAGAACAGTTTCAGGTTAAGTACGGACCTCCAGAATGAATTACGGTAAGTACTTGAGGTACCACTGTAATAGAAATACAAGGAAAATATATTCTAAAAACGCTTGTCTGAGTAATACTATTATAGTCAAGGATCTTCACACAAGACGCAACATAAACTACAACAAAGCTTTGTTTGGAGTGAGGAACTTTAGAAGCCACAGAAGCAGGGGACGTGGCTTGGGAATTTGGAAAATAGCCTTGCACTCTGCAGAAAAATCTGCATCTCTCCCCCACCCCCCAGAACCTTATTGCAGAGGAAAGATAAGATATGTCTGACTGACTTTGGGTAATGTCCTTAAAGCAGAATTGCAAAAAAATAAAAAAATAAAATAAAATCCAGCAACTTATCTTCCTTTTTTCCTTTCAAGAAAAAGAGATAAATCTAACAGGAACTCTGGACAAGGCCAAACTGAAAAAGCATATTTTCCCTAAAACCTGCCAATGAGAAAGAGACATACCCTCCAACATTTCTCTGATGAACATAGGGGCATCCCTTTCCATAATGATAATTTTACTATTTATACCCCACCCATCTTACTGTGTTGCCCCAGCCACTCTAAAATAAAGGTAAAAAGGTAAAGGACCCCTGGATAGTTAAGTCCAGTCAAAGGCGACTATGGGGTTGTGGTGCTGATCTCGCTTACTGGCCAAGGGAGCTGGTGTTTGCCCACAGACAGCTTTCTGGGTCATGAAGAAACTGCTTCTGGTGCAACGGAACACCGTGATGGAAGCCAGAGCGCACGGAAACTCCGTTTACATTCCTGCCGCAGTAGTACCTATTTATCTACTTGCACTGCATGCTTTCAAGCTGCTAAATTGGAAGGAGCTGAGACAGGGCAACGGGAGCTCACCCCGTGGTGTGGATTCGAACCGCCAACTTTCCAGTCAGCAAGCCCAAGAGGCTCAGTGGTTTAGACCACAGCGCCACCTGCTCACTCAGCCACTCTATGCAGGTTCCAACATATATAAAAAC